CATATTCCTTACTGATACTCGTGTCTAACGGCACATCTATTCGACTCTACAATAATTGTAAACGATCGAGTTTCTAATTCTCAACCAATAAGAAACGTTCATATAATTTAATGCTATATAATTCATTCCTAAATGACAGTTATGGAAACGTGACAGAGAAATGTGTGTTTTGAAAACTTATAATAATAAAACAGATCATTAAGTTTACGTGCACTTTCTTTGTAGTTATATAATAACGATAATATCTATAATCCTCAAACAATACAAAAAGTACAGCTTTGTTAATATGTTTTTTTATGTTTTATGTTTGTTCTAAAGAAAACTAAGCATTTTAAAATTAAAACTACAGCAAGAATTACACAGGCGAAAATTTCACTCTATTGGCATGTTTTTTCTATTGGCAATGGTTTCCAGTATACGATTGGAGCTGGCACCCAGTCTGCAGAACAGTGAAGTTGAGTTTTTGCGCATAATGATGTAAAAAAAGTATCTGTACACGCCTTGCAAACATCCCTGACGAGCTGCACAAAAAAGTGTTTAAAGGCTAGCACAAACCGACAGACGAGAAGGTAGAGGGTAATAAATTTGTCAATGTATCTTTTATGCCATTCCAATTTGTTTTAAATTTCAATGCTTTGAGGCAGACCTCGGAGCATCATGGCACATTTCTCCGTCTGTGTGTCTCCGCCTATAAACTGCTCTGCAGTTTGGCGGGCTTTAAATTTGTAGCCAAGTGTATTTTATATAATAAACTATTTATTTATTTACCCACACCAGAGGATACCACGGCGGAAGTGACCGGGAGGCGGTTTCCTCTGGCCAATTAATTGTCGATTTTATTCGCGGGAAACTTCGTTCAAGAATATGAATACTTCTTTGCTGGTAACTATACCACAGGTTTTCCGTTTTTAAGTACCGCTGCAATATATTCTAGTTCTTGTACCAATACTTGTAAGAATAAGGTCTTTCGCACGGACCTATCTGCTAAAGCTTTTTTGTGTAAAGTAAGTAAGACAAACGAACAGACGAGTCACGTGATGGGAGGTGATCATCGCCCATGGACACTTGCAATACCAGAATTTTGCCAGGCTTCTCGGTGATTATTTGTTACCTGGGAAAGGACGTCTAGATGTGGGTTGTTATAAACTTATATGATGTTACGTAAGCGTATATTAGGTACTTATTAAATATAAAAGTTAACAAAAGTTATAACAAATATACTTATAAGTATTTTTGCACTTACATACGGAATACTAAGGTAAAAGGAGAAATACGAAGAAAAATTGAAAAGTTTAGTAATGTTTTTGAAATATTAGTGAAAAACAATTATTATCCATTCTCAGGTCGAAAGTCTCACATAAATTTTATTACACTTAAGAGAGGTGGGGACTATGACCGCATTAATACAAAATGTAGGTTACTTTGTATGCTTACTATTATTTCTGTGGTGTTAATAGATGAGCCTTAATTATATCTTTTCGTGCTTTATAGCTAATGCAATCAAATGACGGACTCTGTGGGAAATGTAACATCACTAATTTACTACCTATTAATTAGTGGCGAAGTATCTAAGTGTTGTAGACATTATATTACGTAATGGCTCGTCTTTAACGTAGTACCTTATATAAGTAGATGCTATAATGAGTTGAAGAACTGTGTATACATGGAAGGATAAGTTCATGTAATAACTACCGAAAAAAAACATAAACATCAGCATACCCTAGTTTACCAAAATAGTTGCAGCGTCAAAATTAGTCATTTTATGTAAGTAAGGATATTTTGCAATATTACTTACTGACGTGCGCCGGCGCAGGTATCAGGCGGATGTGCGATTTCTAAGCGGAACCGTGTTTATCGAAAGTCTAAATCTATTATCGACTCCACCAAAAATATACATTGTTTGCACGACTGGTGACTTTGTTCATTGTTATGCAATGTGATATTTGTGTTTGTCATTGTAGATTATCTAAAGAAATTTCTCGTATACGCAGCTATAAGTTTATCCAAGACTGAAAGCTAAACAAACCTCATACATTGACTGTCTAAATTTTAAGAAGTAAAGTGCAAATTTTTTTGTCAGAAACGTACTTTCCATACAAAAGGCAATCATTAAACCGATAAACATACCCTAAATTCCGTAGCTACTTAAGTAGGAACCTACTTAGTAGAAAGGTTATTAATGATTTAGGCAATATTTTACTTTATTATGAACAAATTAATAATACAACAATAATACTTTAATAGATTAATTGAAACGTATTCGTAAAGATTCTCTAAAAATCTACGTTATAGTACCCTATTTGAAATGTCCGAATTACAAATGAAGAACGCTATTCTGAATAATTTATTGCAGATTTTTTTTATTGTTGACTTCAAGTGGCGGGACGAGCAAGTCGGTCAGCGACACGCCTACCCATAACAGTTGCAATGCCACTCAGGAGTTTTGAATCGCAGAGCAGCGCGGCACTGCCACTATACGAAAATTAACAAGTTTCTTGTAGTTGTCTTTTCTCCAGCGCGGTACTGCTTAGCAGCGTAAATGGTTACGAGAGCAGTACTTCCCCGGACGAACTCTCTCCCAAGCAACTCTACTACTACTGAAACTAACGGCATCAACTCTACCCGCCCAAGTTAAACCCATTTTGAAAAAAATATCGAATCGCTTCAGAATTGACAGATGGATGTCATACGACGATCTAAGCAAATGTCATCGTTATATTGTTGCGAAAATAAATTGTGGCTTTTTCCAGAAAATGGCCTGACTAAGAGGATTACACACGGTGACTTTTTGCAGCGATGCAAACGCGCGTTCGTGAAAAGAAAAGCGCGATTGCATCGCTACACTAGCGATGTATAAACGCGCGACTGCATCGATACAGTCGCTTATGTTAAATAATTACGTACGAAAAATCTGTATAGATTTAAGGACATTATTTGTCCATTGTAAATTGAAAAGTGAAAATAATAAATACATTAAATAAATAAATTAGTTAATTTAAAACGTGCATCGCTTTTGCATCGCACTTGAGTGTAAAGGTAGACGATTAGCGACTGCATCGCGTTTGCGTCGCTGCTAAAGTCGCCGTGTGTAACCGCTTTGGAAAACGCGATATTATTGCTTACGTAAAATGCAAATATTTACGTAGTTTGGTTAACAACATGAAATGTGCAATCATTTGTTACAAATTAACGTAGATGACGATAGTAATTTTTTGTTGCATTTATATTTCAAAGTAATTTTTAGTGAAATAATTATTTTTCTCTGTATAAAACGGCGATAAATTCTCGTACGCAAAAATACGAAAATTTTAATTTTCCGTAAGTTTTCTGATTAATTTCAATAGATGACTAACATTTCAGCATGTGTAGTACGTGGAATACATACCGACACAGGTTTTTAAGCAACCTTTAAAATTATGAGTTGAATGACGTCTGCGAAAATATATAGAAACCAACTGCAGCACTAATGCCGGTACCACGGACTATTAACTCACATGATTCAGACGATAATCCGAGTCTATCTAAAATAAAAATATTGTAATACTTATGTAAATGATTTTTTAATGTACGAGATTATTACACGAGACACGGTGCGGGATTTTTTGACAATTTCATCAGATCAGATCTGGCCAATCTGGCATTTCATTGTTCAAGTTGCTGGAACCTCCACAAATAAACAAGGAAGGATTATAAGAATTAATGTTTTGCAACAGATTCATATTATTTTACATAATTTTTCATCTAGTTGCAGTTGCATAAAGTTTATAATTGCCGACCGCCGCATATCACGCTAATGGCACAAAGCTAATCTAAGTAAATTCATGGAGTTATTACACTCTAAAGAACTCTACATACTTACAACTTTTCCAGTCACGTGTATCGCATATCTACCAAATACGATAGAGTAAAATCTGTTTAACACTATTTGTTCAAAAGTGTATGTTCAAGATGATTTTTTTTAATAATTATACTTATTCCCGTAAAGTTGAATCTGAATCTATTGTTCTTGAAGCAAGGAAGAATCTGTAGTTTTAATCATGCAAAAACAGTAAGCGAATTGATGCTACAGCTTTTGTTAAATTTACGAGAAATTTCCAAAATAATTTCATTACGCAATTTATAGATAATGATAACAAATGTAACAAAACATCGTCCTGTAATCCTATTTTTATTTATCGGTATTAATACTATTATTGAAATAATTAAATAGAAAAAGTTTGACTTTAATAAATTAATATTCTGTCGATAAAAAAAATCTAATTATCAAAATATGTGGTACAATCTATATACTTACTTCTTATCAACAACTGAAAGTATCATGCATCAATAAACTGATTAATTGAACACTGCACTCTAGTCCAAAGAACAAGCTTATCAAATTATCGAATAGTCCAAAAGTTCCCGCGGTCGAAAACAATGGATTGTTTACGCGGTTGTCATAGCAACGCGCGAGAGGTAAGAACAATATGGCGGCCGGTGCGCATGCGCCGCTGAGTACGAGCGCAGACTGACGGCGCGGACACCGACCACCACTTCGGAAAGCGAGAGGAAGAAGCCTCCAAGCTGGTTTTTGTTGTGCGAGGGCATACCTCCGACCCAACGGCATTGGAGCGCGCAGCCTACGGCGCTTCTCAGCTCGTTAAAGCTACGCCTCCGCTACATATTTTCTGTTAATTAGGCAGAATGTAATAAATTTTACCTACCGCTATTTACAACCTTCGCCTTGAGCCTTCACGCCAAATACTAATAAACGAATGATAAAAGAGTAATGCGCCGTGTGTAAATATATGCAATTACTAAATAAAGGTTGTTAAATCCCTTACAAAAACAAGTGAATTACAATTTAATTGCTGTTTTATAAAAAAAATAATTATTTAAAGGTGTAAAGTAATAAACAAAGTTATATTTAGAAGTAGATTGTATTTGTTTTAAATGTATCAAACACTATATTTCAAGCTACAAACTTAAAATTAAAACAATACTTCTATCCATTTCATACAAAAAAGTCCCCATCCGAGGGCAGATCTTACGAAAACACATGCAGTTATGAAATGGTTATCGTACTGGTTAATGAAGTCTACATTATTTAATAATAAACAATAAAAATACGTGCTACATACAAATATGTCTGATACAATACAGTTAAATGGATAAGTATGTTAACTGAGTAACAAAATTATAATTAATTAAAACAAATGATATGATGCATTCTTGTAGCGTACAGCACACAGGTGCAAGTCGCGTGTCATTTATAACACAGATGTATAACAAAATACTATACAACGAAAACACAATGTATAATATCAAGTTATATTTCTGTATATTTAAAATAATAACTTAACTAAAAGAACACATAATAACAAAGCAAATTGAAAGTTAATTACAAACAAGAAACAGACAAGAAACATTAGTAGGCATAGGAAGCTAACAAATGTGCAAGATGTATTAGTACATTTAGTTTAAATACAATATACAAAAATAAACTTTTTAGTTACCTATTAATTTTGTATTTACATAAGTCTGTCCACAGACGACCTTTCTAATAAACTTTACTATAGATACATTTACAACCAATTGATAAATACGATATAACAGTCCATGATCCTTAATTAGCACAATTAGATATAGCACTTATAGATTATTATACTAATGTAGACCACTTAGATAGTATTAACCACTTGATCAAAGCATTTTGCAACAAATTGTTCTTTGTCGTCCAATTTTTTGGGGTCACTGGTGAGATGGCGAGTGAGCATAGCTTCTTGAAGTGCTGAAAGTGCTTCGGAAGTGAAACGCTTTCCTTTAAGATGAGTGACAACCGAAGCTTCACCATGGAACCCAGAATCGACTAGTCCAGGAGGTATGCTTAATGTAACGTCATTAATCAAACCTTTCTCGACTGTCATATTGATTACAAGCTCTTGTGTAGCAGAGTACACTCGGGACGGTGCAAGCAACTCTGCGGGGACAGGGAAGGAACGGCTGACGGTGAATACTGGAGTCCTGCCGTAGTTCCAATCCCAAGTCTTCAGTTCATTCTTGATTTCATCCAGACCTGTTGAAAGGATGTTCGAATTAGAATAATTCACCTGTAATAGTGATACGAATCAGTATTGTAGGTTAAGTTTGAATTGTCTTATTTTACAATTAAATAACGATTCGAGATTAATTTAGGACTTATGTAGATATCAGAAAAACATGGACCAAGGAATATAAAACTTTTGTTTAACATTAGGCGTAATTAACATAGGGGAACAAAACATTGACTCACCTGGGAACCAAGCGTCAGTAGGATTTACGAACTGGAAACCTCGTTGCTATGTAGATATCAGAAAATACATGGACCAAGGAATATAAAACTTTTGTTTAACATTAGGCGTAATTAACATAGGGGAACAAAACATTGACTCACCTGGGAACCAATCGTCAGTAGGATTTACGAACTGGAAACCTCGTTGCTTAGCGATAAGGTCTTGTCCACCATCAGCGAGGTGCAGGGCCGGAGTACGCAAGTACTCGTACCCCACAGCGGTTTGCAGGCTGTCCACAGTGACCCGGTTGTCCATATCACGCAGATTTGCCACAGGAGAGGGTGTTGACGCCGTCGCATTTGTCTGTATGCCATGCTAAATGAAATTAAATGTCCTTACTTAACATGAGGGGGGCCCATTGTGCACTCATTAGTAGCTTCAACTTCAAATTAAGGTTATTTTCCAACAATGTTATCTACTAAGCAAAACTAGTGATAATTGTGCAAAAATACATGATAATTGAGTACTAAAAAAAAACTGCTTTTATAAAGAAATAAAAACAGGTGATAAGATATTAATTTGTTGAAATAAACAACAAGTCAAAGTAAGTATTAAAGCAGTTGACCTTAATATAAAACTTATACTTTTCATCATAAATTTTGATTTAAAGCTATTCAAGTTTTGTATAGTCACAAAAACAATGAATCATCAACAAGCGTAGTTGCGCTTGCACTGACCCCTGCCATTGCTGAATATGTAAAAATTGTTCAACTAACGACAACATTGCATAGTAAGAATTTATAGTTTGTACCAATAAAATTATTTTTAACACATTTTCTAATGTAACATATCTTTATTTCATATGTAAGTAAATTACACTTGAAATTGTCACACTGATTAAACTATTACTCATTTGTAAAGCTATCTCTCCCGAGAAGAATTAGTAAAACTCTAGTGGTTGATCTTTGTAAATATATGTTTATCAGAGACATCCTTGGGTCACAGTTCATTATGTAAATAAGTCATTTTAAAATTAATGAATAAGACAAAGAAACAAAAACAAGAAAAGTTAAGTGAATAGTTCAGAATTTTACTTTGTAAAGGGTCTTTCAACAAGAACTTTGTTTTCTAAAACAAAATAAAACAACAAATTTAGATGAAGATGATTCAAATTTTTATTGTATTACAAAGAGAAAAGTTCGGCAATTATGAATGAAAAATGATATCTGGCAAATGTCCACCACGACCACTCTGACAGAAGTCGATTCTTTCATCAAAATTTTTAATCACTTTTTGGCAAAATGTCGGGTCTATTTCGGCTATCACATCACGGATTTTGAGTTTTAAGGCTGTAGTCGATTCGATTGGCTCCGTATAGACTCTGTCCTTAAGATAGCCCCACAAAAAATAATCCAGTGGTGTTAAATCACACGATCTGGCTGGCTATTTAACAGCTGAATTTCGGGAAATTACGCGATCAGCAAATTTGGTTTGCAATAAATTGATCGTCTCATTGGCTGTGTGACATGTGGCACCGTCTTGTTGAAACCACATGTCAGTGATATCCATGTCATCAATGCTAGGCCAAAATTGAGTTGTTAACATCTCGCGATAGCGTGGTCCATTCACCGTTACCGCATTTCCAGGTTTCAACAAGACGGTGCCACATGTCACACAGCCAATGAGACGATCAATTTATTGCAAACCAAATTTGCTGATCGCGTAATTTCCCGAAATGCAGCTGTTAAATGGCCAGCCAGATCGTGTGATTTAACACCACTGGATTATTTTTTGTGGGGCTATCTTAAGGACAGAGTCTATATGGAGCCAATCGAATCGACTACAGCCTTAAAACTCAAAATCCGTGATGTGATAGCCGAAATAGACCCGATATTTTGCCAAAAAGTGATTAAAAATTTTGATGAAAGAATCGACTTCTGTCAGCGTGGTCATGGTGGACATTTGCCAAATATCATTTTTCATTCATAATTGCCGAACTTTTCTCTTTGTAATACAATAAAAATTTGAATCATCTTCATCTAAATTTGTTGTTTTATCGAGTTCTTAGGTTTTCGCGATTGTTACACATAGGAATGAAACTATTTTTCCGGATTTAAATCGCGTATATTTGTTTTTTCAAACAAAAAGGTTTGTTTGATGTTTTATTTTGTTTTAGAAAACAAAGTTCTTGTTGAAAGACCCTATACATGTATGGGATAAAATTATTAAAGATTATTATGAAATCTCTTTTATTATCTTATTACAAAATAAAAAGATCTATTAAGTAAATATGGAACTTGATTTAATACATTTTTCTTTTCCCAACACATAAAAAGAAATATAAGGCATTGTACAATATGCATTAACCATTGGAATAAGGTTCAGGTAGATGGAAATTTACTTACATCACGTTTGGCCAGTGCCTTGCTGAGATCTGCCTTGTTGGCATTGACTAGAAGTGTGCAATGGTGGTATCCTGTCAGCCGGCCCAGCTTAGCTGCAGTACCAGAGACCTAAAAAATTAAGAAAAGTTAAATAATCATGTACAAATTTAAAATTTATGAACAAATAGAAATTGTCAAATTAAATTTTTATATGAAAAATATTAGCTTAGGTATGGTTAGAAGTTTGACCATTTCAAGTTTTGAATTTAATAATAACTATCAAAGACTAAATTTGAGATCTTGGAACATTACAAAAATTTAATTTACCTTATATTTGTCTCGTACAATTATGTCTTGTCTCTCATTCAAAGTTGTCTTGACACCAAATCCTCTATACAGAGCTCTCTGGATCAACTCCAAATTGTATTTCCTATTATATCTCTCCTTTGGAGTGAAGAAGGTTATGTTCAAATTCCCACGGTCATGGTACACAGTACCACCTCCACTGTTGCGGCGGGCCAAATCAATTTCTCTCTCAGCAAGGAGAGGAATATTGGCCTCCATCCATGGGTTCTGGTGTCTACCAATAACCACACACGGTTCGTTTCTCCAAACCATCATAACATGGTGGTTTGAGAAATCCATGTTACGGTACATCCAATCTTCCAGAGCCAAGTTAGTGTAAATATCGGTAGATTGAGACATGAACACAGACTTTGTGACCTCCCCCTCTGATGGCAAAATGTTCTCCTTCCTGCTGGCTGATAGATTCTTGCACCCTGCAGACAAGCTGCGGGAGCTAGTCCTCCTGGTGATGCCAACCACCACACATGCACTGCTCATGGCAATCTTTTTCATCATTGCTTGGGCCATTCTGTCTTAGTATTTAAAAATGGATACTTTTCTGTATGAACCTTATAAAGGCAGTATTATAAACGTAAATCACTATAAGTAATTGTCTCTAAAACCACTAACAACTAGTAAGAGTTCAAAAAGTCCAAATCTTTTAATTTACTAATGCTTGGAACCACAGGGGTCTGTGTCCGCCGCAGAGAGGGAGATCAGGTACTCGTGTAACGCGATGGTCTGATGCAGCCACTTCCAGGTCTGATGCAGGCTGTTGATTCGATAACGAATACCCAAACAGTCTCGACAGTCACTTGGCATTCCTCTTCTTGGATACAGAATTAGGAGAAAATCACAAAAAAGCAAAAATTAGCACAAATTAAAACTTTCAGAAGAAATTTATACAATATGGATATAACTGTAAGATTTTAAAAAATATAGCAAATTCAGGACGTAAAGCGAACTAGCGCGCGCGACAATATGTAAAGAACTGATTATAATTACCTTGCGTCGTTTCATTTTATTCACGCTGATAATGGTAAAGAGGCCGCTGAGTTAGGGTCGCCCAGGGCACTTCGAAGTTCACATGAACACAAGCAAACAAACATGATAAGGAGCACGAACCAGCCACGCGCAACTTTATCACGTCTACAATGTACAGAGATTAGTAACTAAAACTGATAACGCTTCAATGAACACAGCTGAAATAGAAAACAAAATTAAAATTCAAAAAAAATCTTGTGACCCTCACACTGCATTTTTTTGACAAATAAATTAATTTTGTTTTTATTATTATTAAGAGTTTTGGCTTGGATACGAGTCCATGGAGCCATGTCTTCGTTTAATTATCTGAATCCTCAGTAAATGTTTTTCATTATGGATTATGTTTTCCTTTCTCATAAATAACTTAGTTCTCTTATTTGAGTTTTCTAAATAGTCTTTTAAGCGGCGGGAGTCAATATTTATGTTTCCACTTAAATCACATTATTGTCACTTTAAACAAAAACTTTTTTGTAATTAGTGGAATTTTCAGGATAAAGTATTTTGTAATTTGGTTGAAAATAAAGAATATGGGTCTAACTTTCTTCAGCACTATTTCTTTCTTCGTATTCTCTTCTTATTATACCTAAAATAAAAATAATATTTGTAAAAACTGTAGGTAGTTGTAAGATTAATTTTGATTTTGATGTAATGAATTATGTTATTACGCACCGGATATTAGAAGAATTTAGTTCATTCTTTTTAAAAATTAACTTATTTCAAACGTATTATTCATTAACTTACAGGTCAATGGTATTATTATTATTATTATTTAATAAATTCAAAATAAATTCACATTTAAAATTATGTAATATTTGAATAACTAATGATTGTGATTCGGAAAATGTTCGGAAGCAAATGGAAAAGCAATAGAGTATTGAGTATTCAATTTGCGTTGCTAGTTAGTAGAACTATTTACTTCAATACATTAAACTTTTGGGAAAAGATATGTAAAATGAATAAGTATATTCTAAATAAAGTTTTATGAGTCCGTAGTTGTTTTCGTAAGTAAAATATCATGATTGTTTTATTTTCTTCAGGTGTAGGAACAGAATGCAGCTTCAAAATATCGGAAACAGTGGGTTTCATATTATCACAGGTTACAGAACTATTATATTATATGAGGTATAATATAATAGTATCCAAGCATGGTATCCAAAGAGTAGAGTAATATAGGAATCTTTCATTATTGACATTACAGCTGATTTGCAGTTTGTAATGATTTGAAAGACATGATTCTGAAATATTACAAGCCGATTTGCTTAAAACGTACTTTTTTTCTACTCTAGTACTATTCCAAGAAAATAGAAGCCAAATTCAATAATTTTTAACTGTCCTTGTCACCTAAAAATTTTTCGGTTTCTTTCTGACTTACACACACTATAAAGCGAGTATTAAGTTTTTGCCCTCGGGCGTCGTTCTCATTTTGTTCTAAACCAAATTTGAAAATGTGATCTGTTATATATAAGTGTTGCAGTAACTCGGAGCTTGCTTTAGGTCATATAAACTCTGTGAGCTTGCAAACTTTTCCTTAATCACAGATACTTTCTTCATTCTTTACAAAATGCCGATGATACACTCAATTACGACATTTAACGACAACCCGACATAATACACTTCATTTAATGACAAGTAGAGCTTTATATTTATGATTGGAATGTCCGTTTACAAGGAACGGTCTTCCTTCAGGTAAATTTACCGAAATTGATATTTATTGGAAATTCTTTTCTTCTATTTCTTTTCTTCTTTCTTTCTTTTGGTTATTCGTTAGTTTTAAGCCGCATTCATAATCTTATAGACAATGTCTATTTTGCCGAACTCTACCTATACTTTTGAAACATACTTAGCATTTTTACAATAAGAAATTCTTCAAAGCATTCACTAATCTGTTACATGCTCTCTTGGCGTATTTCAATTGAATGTTTTGAACAACACTATACCCAGTTGTGCTACAATTATTCCATTCTTAATTTTTGACAAAACGTGTTGTCATTTAGCGGCTGTACGTTAGAAGAATCTTTGCCTAATTTAAATGTATGGATGAAAACAATAAAAAAAAAGAAGTTCTGTCAATGTCAAGTTTGTCCAGTGTCCTACCAACACAAAACCAGTCAATTGTGGAAATCAGTAAAATTTTTGGAAAAGGGGGCTAAATTTTAGTGAAAATGGCATTTAGAACAACTGCTGTTGTACGCAGTAAGTGTTCTTAATTATTACATATTCTTAATAAAGACTGTTTATTGCATTTTACTTAGTTACATAATATACTATTTTTCAGGTGGCCTGAAAAAATGGGCCTATAATCTGTCGGGTTTCAATAAATATGGTAAGCTTTATACTTTTTAAAGTCTAATTAAATCGGCTATTTAATAAAGCATGTACAGGTAAGTGGATTATGTATTAGTGTCTACATAACCTTAATTTCTAGGTCTTTTGAGGGACGATTTACTTCACGAGACCGAGGACGTGCAAGAGGCACTTCGCCGCATCCCTGAGCACGTTGTTGATGAACGCAACTTCCGTCTAGTGCGCGCAATGCAACTTTCCCTCCAAAAAACCATTCTCCCCAAAGAGGAATGGACTAAATATGAAGAGGACAAACTCTACCTTACGCCTATCGTCGAAAAGGTTAAGAAGGAAAGATTAGAACGCGAGAATTGGGAAAAAAATTACTAAATTGATTGGTTCTTAGATTAAGAGTAACTATTAATATTTAATAATCAATAAACTTAGCATGTTATAATTTGGGCAGTTTCTTTTGTAGGTAATTTTTTTTAGGTTTATACTGATGCCAATAGTCTATAATAAAGTGCTTTTTAGTCTGAGTTAATTCGTCCACAGGGCTAGCACTGTCCACATGAATGAATCGATTAAACTACAATATTTCTCAACGAAAATAATTGATGAGCTTCAAAACAAAAACCAATAAATCCCATAAATTTGGATTCTAATTTCGTCTAGTCTCAGAGAATGGATTTGTTGCATTGTGTTCAGATTTGTGCATTTGAAACACATTTTCAAGGACAATTTAGTAATTGATGGTTAAATTGCATAAATTATTTCCGGAAACATACAAAAACTGCATAGCAAAAGAACAAGTCAAAACATGGCTTATTGGTTAACATTAAAACCAATAAAACTATAACTTCTCATCATGAGATAATTAGATATTGCATGGAAATAACTAACCTTGTGACTATGAGAGGATCACACAATGAAACTAAAATTTTATAGATAAAAACATTTTATTTATAACGCCTAACTTGTAAAATAAGTATACCAATAAAGAGTACAAAAGAAAATTTTAAATATGGCAAAAGGATATAAATTATATGGCCTCTAGAATTGGGGCAGTTGTTCATGAATAATTTAGATTATAATTAACTAACATGGTCCCTTTGAAATGATTAAAAAAAAGAGATTTTTATAAATAAAGTGTACAGATTCATCATACAACAATAACAAGAATTGCATATAAATTGTAATAAAATTATACTTAAATTATAAATGTTAATGTAATGTAATGTAAACAAAAATCCTTGAGCAATAATAACTTAAAATTAAGGTGTCTCTGAAAACAAATTCAAAGTGCAGAGATGTTGTGCTTCAATTATTTGGATGACAAAACAATAGTATTTATTGTCTCTCTCCCTTAACCCGTCATGCATCCTTCAAACGTACTTGTGTCCGTAACGATTTTGGTAAAAAATGGTTTAAAATTTTTTTAATGGTGATTTGAAAACAACTACATGTTAAGGACAGTTTCATTGACATCACTTTAGTACACTATGGTATCAAAATCCCTAGGGTAACCATGTCTCTAACAATTGTATGTGGACATGTGACGAGTTAATTAGGTAAGTAAGTAAGCATTTTAATTAATTTCGTACAGGCCTTAATTTTACATTGAATACAAAGGCTTACAAGTTACTTTTGCATCTTGAAGTAGATGCACTTATAGTGATTTATGTCATCAACATTTGTGTTGTAAGTAGAGTTCTCTTTCCATTAAAAGTGTTCAAAGTCAAACTTGGAAGCCTTCAGATATTCTCAATTTTCAGGTTATTCTATTGGATGTTAATGACAACTCAATAAAAGCAAAATATTAGACAATTGGAATAATCATGCATAAATAAATAAATTTAAATAACTCACATTGCTAACATACTGTTATAAGAGGCATTCTTTCCAGATCTCTAGTTTTTAGAACAATTTGCAAACATACTTTAGAAAAAAAAAAATCATTATAATAATGTTACTTGTTGCAATTCAACCACACCATTACCATTGCACGTCACAATTTGATATGAAATTCATATTTTGGTCCTTTTGGTTAAAATAAAAAATGCAAGTTTATAAATACAATTGAATAAAAATGTTAGTCATACATAATGTAACAAGAATAGTCAAATTAACATTTTATCTTAAAGAAAAAATTCACAATTTTACTAAACTTAAAGATAGTCATATACTTAATAATTCTATAAACACGTAGGTATACAAGGTAGGGTCAATGAAAAAATGTCCCTTCCATTCTGTATCTATAAAAAGTTTCAATTGAAGAAATTAATCAACATGAATAGAAAGTAGTAAAAACATAATAAAGAGTATTAATTTGAGCTTTATAATAAAAAACTCTTAAATAAATGATAACTTACAGAATATAATTATAATCATCACATGATTTCTTTTTTCTAACCTCCACATAAATTCTTACTTATCTTTACATAAAAACTAGTTGAATTTATCATAGTTGAACAGACGGAATCTTATAAAAAAACGCAACACTACTACTATAAAGAAACTGAGCAAAAACAAATTTAATCTGAAGGTAAACGCGAAATTGTAAAAAATTACAAAAAATTTCAATCCATAGTAAGTCTTCCCACTAGCTCGTTATTGGACGTGATGTACTCAGCGCTGGTTTCCATAGTTTAGTTTAAAAATTATATGCGTCTTGGAGCAAGCACGGAGCTTCACGTCATTCCCTGATTTCCGTCATTATTATTTAAAAAATTAAATAAATCGATACATCGATATTTCACCGACTAGGCGTATGCTGTTCAAATTCTCGAGATATAGTATACATAAAACTTACTATTGTAATTTACGCTAAAATGCGTTCGATATGATGGCAAAATTCAAAACTATTTCCACAACATCAATTTTTATATAGCTACGTATGTAATTATGTATGGGAGTATAAATGGAAAGTTATAAGTTATTTTAACATTGAGATTATCTACTGTATAGGTTTAAAGTGTTAAATAACTAATATCGTGGTGCACACACACTGCACTGAAGTTGACTACAGAATATGAGCTAATTCTTTGCTTTGGTTCGCATTTGAATGTACATAAACATTATTGAATGCTTCGATATACACAAAAGTGTGGGAGCACCCCTAGCTAAAATCGCTTATTCCCAGTCGTGACCACTGGCTTTGCTCCCACTGGCGAGAAATGGGGGAAAAAAACCCATATGTTTTTTATTCCATTTGTTACCACTGGCAACTACTGGGATATTTTAAATTCCATTTGTCGCCAGGGCAACAACGGATCTTTTTATCCCATTTGTCATCACCTGGTATAATATGGATTATTTTCCATTTGTCGCCAGTGGCAACAAAGCCAGTGGTGACGACTGGAATAAGCGGCTAAAATTGTATTGTTAAATATATGGCAAGAAAATCGTTGGAAGTTAACACATAGCCCATTACAATTTCTTATTTGAAGATACACTTAAATCTAAATTAGAGCCGATAGACATTTACTGTACAAATGGAATAAGTATACTTTTTACAATCTACACATTATTGGCAACTTAGTTTGTCAGAAGTTCTTTGGAGAATCTTATTCGAGTTTTTATACAGATAGTTCTTACAGAAAGGTGAGGCTTGCAGTACCAGTTGATTACAATGGCCAAGCGCGTCGCTCTGTCTGTGAGAGGCTAAGGTATAAGTTATATATAGTCAGCACACTAAGTATTTAGGATATACAAACTATATTTGTCACTTTGTTCCTTTCTATTATACTTAAGTGACTTGTTACTGTGCCCTGGCCTATTACTATAGCTGCTATAGTACCACATCGCAGTACCATTTACTAACGTCCAAGTTTCGGAGCCATTCGAAATTTGCGAAAGTTCACGATTGCATTGTTGTATTCATTTGTCATTATTTTCTCGGTCACATTGACTCAATTTTTTTACTAACAGTATAACGTTAATACAGTGACGCCCTATTTTCGAATGAACATTATAACCATACATGTATAACAATTTAAAAGTTTGTAAATAAAGCATATTTTTTAATTAACATTTTACTGAATTAACCTTTCAAATAATATTTTTCTACTCCTCTGTTTTAATCTGTCAATTATAATTTCATAAACTATATCACAGAGGCGCTCATTTTAATTCTGAACCAAAATTCTATTGTCTATGGTACTCGCTACTGGACTAAAAAAAGAATGTATTTTTGCTAACTAAAAGAGTCTCCTTAAACGCGTGTTCCTGGGCAGAATAACGTCACTATGTTCGTGAAATTACTAAAATTAAAATTATTTTATTAAATAATATCTCAAAATGTTACATAACAGGTACAAAGGCGTATCCATTTGGCAAAAAGAATTATTTAAAAACAATATAAAGTATGACGCTACACAAACAAACGCTCCACTGCCTCCTGATTTGTTAAAATATAAGCGGTACTTAGCCAATCATGGACACTTCTATTCTATCTCTTTCTCTTTGGTTTTTTTGTTTTGTTTTATAACGTTTGTTTGGCTTTCTTTTGAGTTTGTTGTCGTGGACTGTTAACAAAATATACATTAAAAATTGGTTGTGTTTCATTATTTTAATTTACTCATAGAAAAATTATTAACGCACGCTCTCATAGACCCGCACTAGGCTATCATAGCACATACAGACACACTCTGTATCGCGATACATGGCATGGACACACACATAGACAACCACGAATTACACCCAAACTCACGTGAGAAACAAATGTAGGCCATGCAAATATTTCTCCTGGCCCAGGAATTGAACCTGGAACCTCTCTGTAGCAGACTAGCATGGTAACCGTCCGGCCAGAGGCAGTTGTATTGTATGCAATCATTATATAATTAGGTCTTACAATCTCGTACCTATTACTTAGGCCAACGGTACTCAACTCTAAAGAACCCTCATTATGCAGCGATAGCATAAAGTAGGTATTATATTCGCCGGTTTTCGAATAACTCCGAAATTAAGCACTTTAAAAAATAATACCGTATATCACGCTTAATATCATCGACCTCATCTTGACTATAGTCTAGATAGTGATCAAAAGCACCATTCTAAAAAAATCAAAATATTAGCCTTTCACCGTGACTTTGTGTCTGCACATAATATGTCTATACATATGTATATCAAATTACACCACGACTCATCTCGATCATTTTCGGTAGCGTAGCAAACGTCTCGCATATGTGTTAACTTAATTGTGTTAAGTACAAAGGGAGTGACTTCACCTATTATTACGAACAATTGTTACTATGGGGACCCTTAAAAAAAGCGAAAACAATTTAAATCAACTGTTCCGCATATATTTTGGTCGAGTCGCACATTTAGTATAACGTAATTAAGTTAACACCTGTATAATATTGATAGAATGCGATATTGGAGCCACATGACATATGTAATTCCACATAAAATATTTGTATTTGAGTGCTGTTGTCTGAATATGGTGTCCATTATACCTTACTACCAAGTAGATACTAATTTGGCGCTTACAGCTCCTCGTCCCCGATGGCTTCAAAGGCGTTGTTCTCAACGCAATCTCGTCCTGATTTAAAGGCCACAGATGCAAATTTTTCGGTGAGTTTTTGGACTGAAAATATTTCCCTTGAGCTTCCGGAGTTGTAGGAGTCTCCATTCTGAAAAAAAAATATTCATCATTGTTACGCACTAAAATATCTCGCGTTCTTGCAAATGAATAGTCAGTCACTAGTTCACGAGACGTTTTAAGACCTGTTCCACGACCGAAAGTCTATAACAGACTTACAACGACTGTAAGCATTTACCATCAGATTGGCAACGCGACTGTTTACAACGCAGATAAATAAATACAGTGGTTATTAGCGTCTGACGCGTGCCAACATTAGGGCTCGAAAGACCTACTTGAGCTCAGTCCCACATTTTCGCTTTGTATGATATGGTTGTGTCATTCTTTCACGCAAATTCTCTAAAATCGCATAAAAATGCCTTGTTTTGCTGTTTTGGGTGCAAAAATGATAGCTGCACCAAAAATATTACCCGTAGTAGTATTTCATATCATCATAAGTCTCATTTTAATAAATTTTCAATTTTCTGTTTATCGAATTGATTCAGATGTTAATCGTTCGTCGTAGTGTAACTACTGACCGCAAGATGGCAGCAAATTGAATAAAATTTCAATATAAAATCAAAACGTAGTAACGTGCAATAAAGGTATTGAACTTTCAACTGTATAGCGACTGGTTAAAATTTACATTATATTAACAATCCAGAATTGGTTACATATTTTAAAATTAGAGACTATCACCAATCATTATCATGATTCTGTAGTGTTTATCGTTTGTTTGTGTGCGTTTCGGCGACAGCGGTTCCGATAGTAATCGAGGATTAAACTTCCATTGAAGAAACGATTTCTTCCGTGGTTTATTACAAACTAGCAACAACACATGCAATCAACTGATTGCATGTAGATAAATGAATGAATTGCAATCAACATCATTATTTCACCGCCAGCTGAACGAATTAATAACGAAAAGTGACTAGACAAATGAATGAACGTTTCTTATTTAATTCCTGACTAAGGATGTGTGTATATCGAGTGACAGGACGAACAAGCCGTGCCCCTGGTGGTAAGAGTCACGGCTGTAATTTTACCAGCACCCTTATCCTTCCAGACCCTTCATTTTGTTGTATAAACGTAGGTAGTTATTACTATTTGTTTCTAATAATATTACATAGTTAAGTTAAACGTATAAGTTCCTTTGCTTTTATTCTTTGCTTGAGGTATTTACCTGTAATTAGGTGTGCATTAAATTTAAAACACAAATTATTGTACCTAGGAAATAAGTCACAATGAAATAAATAGCTGTTGGTAAACTAAATAAATAAATTAAAAAGACCAGAAAGCATATTGTATAATTGTGGATATTATTAAGTTCAGATTGAAGAGACTTCTTCTATGCAATCGAGTACCATCATCTTCCATATCTCCACTTTCCGTCATTTGAGATAGTGGAAACGTAAGCATATATCTAATAAATATATATAAAAAAAATACCGTGGAGCTAAGAGTATCGCTGGAAGAGGAAGGTGTTATCAGCTGCGCTGAGCCGTCGCGGCGCAAGTACGTCAGGCTGCCACGTTTAGCGCTGCGCGGAGACGATGGGCCTGTGCCATTCTTCTGACGCATCAGCTCATCTACTATCGACTGGAAACATTGAAGGACTGGTTAGAGTAAGTAAGACTAAAGCTACCTCTGGATTCTGCTAAATTCAATGAGCTATCTGGTTATTATTTAGGCTTAAGGAGAATAATAATATAATTGTAGTAGCAGTAGAGCTCCTTGTGAAAGAGTTCGTCCAAGGAAGTACTGCCACCTTACCAATTTCTCCGCTAAGTAGTAATATGAGCACTAACAACATCGATTATATTAACCAGAAATAGAGACGAAATGCCATTTAATTTGTTTGAAAACTATTTTGCCAAAGTATTACGGTGACAACTGCGTTCCGAATTCGAAACAATTGACATTTGTTAATTGTTTCACTTCAAATTCAAATCGACCAGAACAGACTTTCGAATTCAAATAGACAAAAATTGAAAAATTACATATTTTATTACCGATGAAATGTGATTCCGGTCGTTTTGTTTTGCGATTTTCCCACATCACCAAATGGAACAGCCCCCACAGTTAGAGATATTATCTTTATTAGAATAAAACAGGTCGGTTGTTGGCGCTGTACTATTTCAGCTTTCTATTTTGTGATTTCAGTGCAAACGAGAGGTGATATAAGGCCCAATTGCATGATGAGTAGCCAGGGATGGATGGCTCTTATTTCGTCTCTATTTCTGGTTATATACTCGATGATTATCAACAACAAGAGCTAACAAGTTGTGCTGTGCTTAAAAGTTATCTTTACGTACGTGGCATTTTTCATTTATTGTTTCGAGTAGCTTTGTTTTCGAATATTTTTACATTTCTATAAACAGTAAATCGCCAAGAAGACCTATTTTTTTATAGTATCATTTTACAAATGACGGGACTAACAAGCCGTATGCCTGGTATTAAGCGACACGCCCTATACACGATAGTAGCAGTGACATTCAAAGCTTAAAATAGCAAATATGTAACTGCCACTGCGCCCATCACCCTAAGAAATAGTTTCCCAAAGTGGTCCCTACCAGCTTCCCTACTACCAGTGTTGGGCGTTAATCAATTAAATTTCAATCAATAATTCAATCAGATTAAAAAATCGATCAGATCCAACATCAGATTAAATTGCGACGCGTCGCAATTGATATAATTGCAATTGATTTCAATTGCAATTGATTTTAATTGCAATTGATTTCAATTGAATTGATTTTAATTGCAATTAAATTTGCAATTAAAATCAATTCCGGCCGGTTGGGGGGCCTCCAACCGGGGCCCCCAACTGGGCCTCCAACCGGGGCCCCAACCGGGCCCCCAACCGAGCCCCCAACCGGGCCCATAACCGGGGCCCCACAACCGGCCCCCCAACCGGGCCCCCATAACCAACGCCCTAACTCACCCCCATATGCCCTATAAATTTATCATAATTGTCAGTTTTAATTGTTAACTGTTAATCAAAAACATTGAAAAGATTGAAAATTGATTAATTGTTAATTGTAGATATTTGCGATTAACGATTGATCAATTTTGATCAATTGCGGTTCTCGCAACTAACAATTGATCAATCGTTAATTGCTGTTTCGCAATTGACAATTAATTAATTGTCAATCTTTAATTGCCAAAACAATTAAATTTTGCCCAACACTGCCTACTACCCAGTGGGCACTGAATAGTCCAAGGGGGCAGTATGAGCTTAATTGGCGGGACATTGATGCTGTCCAGGGGTGCATCCGCATTTGAAAAAAAAAACAAAAGAAAAACCTGAATTATCTACACAACACACTTTCTTTTTCCTTGTGATTTTTTTTGTGTAAAGTTAATATAAAAAATATGTGTTTTCAATTATTTTTTGTGGTGATGGGCGTTGAATGTTTTTATTTTGTCTAAGTGTGGGCGGGGTAAGTCAAAAAGTTTGAGAAGTTATGCCCTAAGACATAAGTTCATAAGTCCCTTGCATCTGTTAATTTCACTATCACCCTTACCCTTCAAAACCGAAACGCAGTAATGCTCACATTACTGCTTGACGGCAGAAATAGGTAAAGTGGCAGAATCTACTGAAACGATGCAATACGAAGCGAGCCTCTCCCAACCCGATGGATCAATATTAGGCTATTTCTTTATATTTTTTATTATTGATCCATAAGGTCGTTTAGATGCCTCATAAACACTTCCTTATAGCGAAGATGTTTACCACCATTCTTTCGTTTACCTTCTGCCATCTCGAAGTAGAGAACAAACCCATAATTAGGAAAACTATTGAACCAACAGGAATCAAACACTTAATAAAAAAAAAAACACAACATTACGTTGTTTAAAATACACACTTACATCACTTAGCAAATACAAATAAAAGGAAATGACTCATAGAACCACAAGCCATCATTACCTGCAAGCAGACACTTATAAACGTTGCATGTTCTGTCCTCAAGGTTATCCATTTCAGATTGTCTTTGCTAATCAGATACTCAAACGAAAGTTCGAAGTTCTTGTTAGCGTCTTCTAGCAAAGGACCATGTCCATTTGTAAGCAGTCGATCCTGGAAAATGGAATTTACAAAAGGTTTATGTACCGCCATAGACGGTGGAAAATTATAATGTAAAAAGACTTTCCAGATTTCGTATAATACTTTTCGAGTTGTCGCGATGGCTTTGAAAGGAAATGTAATAAATAAAAATAATATAATAAAATATAGAAAAGAAGAAGAAGAAGAAGAAGAAGAAGAAGAAGAAGAAGAAGAAGAAGAAGAAGAAGTGTCATCCACAATGAAGGAAAATATCCTTTTCATCTTCAGCGTGTCCAGGAACTCACCGAACCCGACAAACCTGCGCGAGTGACTTTTTGCAATTGGTTGCTGGCTGAACGGCCTACAATTCTATGGACAGACGAGGCTACATTTGGCAGACTAGGACTATTCAATAATCGTGACGAGCATTTGTGATGTTATGAAAACCCGCACGAACCCAGGCCACATAATTTTCAACACCGCTTTAGCGTCAATGTGTGCGCGGGAATTGTGAATTCCACGTTACTGGGCCCCATATTTTTGGACAGATTAAACGGAGAAACATATCATCATTTTCTCACTGAATCGCTACCAGTGTTGTTAGAGGATGTACCACTCGCCCATTTACGTAACATGTACTATCAGCATGATGGGGCACCGGCGCACTATGCTCGCCAAGTCAGAGAGGTGTTGAATAGAAATTATCTAGGTCGATGGATAGGACGTGGCGGACCTCGTGCTTGGCCTCCTAGATCGCCAGACATCACTACGTTGGACTTTTATTTGTGGGGTCATGTAAAGACGTTGGTGTACACTGGTCGCGCAATCACAAGCCGCGATATGTTGAAGGATAAAATAATTTGGCCATTTAACCAAATTCGATTGAATTCGGACGTGTTATCACGAGTCAGTGAACAATTGATTTTTATTCTATTTTGAACGCTATGTGCGCGATACTCACCGCCATCCGCGGGACTTAAATCTACGTGATAGGTACGAATAATTTGTAAAAACTTTTTAATTTTGTAAATATGCGGATTATTGTAGATTAACTAATCAATTACTGTAAATATGCTGATTCCACTTTTTAAATACGCCTGCATTAAAAAATAATATAAGAAAAATACATGCGAAAATCTAGAAATCCTTAAACAGAAAATCGTATAAAAAACGACAGAGACAGTTTAAGTCTCTATCGTTTTTTATACGATTTTCTGTTTGACATACATACGGTTGAAACTTATTTTATGTTTTAATGCAGCCAGTCCTAAGCCTGGTTATAGTATGAAGGGATTGTGGATTCAGTGTATATTGTCAACAGCACATCATGTTACATGTTTGTGTTCGAATATCGTAGCATATCGGAACTAGCTCCGCCAATATTTAACTCGATGTGCTGCCATTCGTACAAACCCAGCAAGCGAGTTAAACGTGGAAACAAGCTATTAATTAACTTCTAGGTATTAATCAAAAGAATTGTGCTAGTTATTCGACGTAAAAGATGTAGGTCATTTCGTAATAATAATTGTTAAATAACGAGTTCTTAGGTTTTCGCGATTGTTACACATAGGAAATGAAACTATTTTTCCGGATTTAAATCGCGTATATTTGTTTTTTCAAACAAACCGACGTTTCGGGCCCTTTACAGGTCCCATGGTCACGGTCAACCGTGACCATGGGACCTGTTCATTTCCTAATTGTTAAATAAATTGCATTATTTGTAGGTATTATTTAGCCCTAGCGTAATGTTATTGTAATAACTACTATAGGTTTATTTACGTAGATTATAGTGATGAGTAAAACTTGTTTTCAAGAGGTCGTCGTAAGGTCAATTTTGGTCTATTTATGTCGGAGCGTTAACTAAAAATTTTTCATGTCAATATATGAACACTGTTCAAAATAGTGCTAGTAATACAACAGTGCCAAGGTTAGGCTAACACAGGGCAATTTTTTTTCTAAAAAAGGCATCCAGACTAAATAAACAAAGTTAATAAAGATACAGTTTCGGCAATGTCACAATGTGGAATTTGGTCCTAATGAAAATAATGGAGCCTCAGCATCACACGCTGCTTTTCAGGTTCCACCGTAACAATTATACATTTTAAATTTGAGGGATATGCTTAAAATTAGTACAAAGCCTTGAGCTTAGTAAGGGGTCCGCTGTTAACTGGTGCCGTTTGCGCTTTGTGCCTTCTATTACTGTTCTGTATACTGTAGGTAATGTAATTTTTAATGTCCAATAAAGAAATATTTTCATTCTCTCATAAAGAAACGAGTACAAAATAATTTTATTTTAAATTATTATTTATTATCGTATTTTATTTTACGTCAACCGTTACCATGGGACCTGTAAAGGACCCGAAACGTTGGTTTGTTTGAAAAGACAAATATACCCGATTTCAATCCGGAAAAATTGTTTCATTTCCTAAATTTATTTGAAAGTTGTAGGTATCGTAGTCATTATCAATTGATGAAATGGTGTTTTGAACCTCATGTAGGTTGTTAACAAAGACATTTGAGAATTAGTTTGCTTTTTAAAAACTCACAGAATGCAATGTCGTAATCCGCCAGCACCGCATTCGCGTGACCTTGTACCGCTGTTCGCGGGTAGGCTGCGTGAGAGTCGCCAATGTTAGTTCCTTCGCCGCTAGAGATACTCGCACCCGACATGTAGTACCAGCGATGCTGCCTGCTACATTGCATGCATCGGTCACGGCTTCCCCTGCTGGTATTTGGCCGTAATACCGTAAAGTCCTCGCCAACTCTATGTACTGTAATGGTAAAAATTTACGAGTAGTGACACGCGTGCTCAGTATTGGGGCATATAAATGGGTTAATGATTAAATAAACAGACTTGAACTTCTGTTTCGAAACATAAGGGCCCGACTTCTTTTTCGGACCTAAACGCTCAGACCACACAGGAGGCGGCCGCGGAAGCGTTCCGGGTGCGAGAATTTTTGTAATGTACGAGTTTATTATTGAGTTTATAATTATAGGCGGCCGCGCCCCAACCGCCTCAGCCGCGTTTCAGTGTGGCAGGGTTCATATAAACTCATATATTACAAAAATTCCCGCGTCCGGAACGCTAACGCGGCCGTCTTTGTGTGGCCTGAGCAAAATTATTCTTATTTTATTTTAACCCGTCCTAAAAACATGCGGTGTTCATAAACGAAATTGGTAGAACTTTTTAATTGCTTTTTATACTTTTAAGCATTTAAAAAAATGGCGGATGAAAACTCAGCTGCGACCAAAATTGTTGGAGACATCGAATTCCTCTACGTCGCGTAGCGGGTTAATGAGAAAACTTCACCTTTAATCTAGTTTTTTTATGATACCACAAGTAACGGGACGATTAAGTCGTTGGTAAGCGACACGCCTGTCCATAAAGAGCTTTAAAACACTGAGAGACTTGAGAAGTCTCATGTGCCTGTAATTTCACCAGCACCCTTACTCTTCAAATGCTCATATTACTGCTTGGCGGCAGAAATAGGTCAAAAATAAAGACATTAGGAGCTACAAATTTGATAATGACAAATATCATATTTTATTTAAACACAATATACGCGATAGCATCATTATGGATAGCGTTTGGAGTTTAATTTTTGTATAAAGAGCAAATACATAGCACAAACATTTTGATCCGACTGAACAGTGATGGAAAATAACAAGAATGTCGTCAACGTTGTTGTGGATAACAACTCATTGGAAATGAAACATTGTTTTCATACCACGCGTTGATACACGCTATATCTGATTACAGAGGAGTGTAGTAATAAAACTGATAGTGATGGATGACAGACACTACAAGTCTATTAAATGATGCACATTATCATACACTATGAGGTCATTGTATCAGAACAAGTAGCTGTTATACTTTGTCATATATCACAAATTCTTTTTTCGTTTCATCCGTTTATATTGCACAGCTGTATTAGCCAAATATGATAGACTATTTGAAGACCTCCGTGGTCGAGTGGCTTGCACACCGGTTTTCATGATGTCACCATCTCTGAGGTCACGGCTTCGATCCCCGGCCGTGTCAATGTAGAAAACTAACTTTTCTATATTGTCTCGGGTCTGGGTGTTTGTGCCGTCGTTGTTTACCATTTCCATAACACAAGAGCTTTAGTTACTCACTAAAGTACTTCAGTAAAGTACTGTGTGTAGTACTTACTTGTTGTTGATTTATACCTATATGTATATGAGTTCGTAATCGAGCCTAACCTTATGAATCTCAATTGAAGTTCAATCTGAAATTTCTAGGCTTACAAGTTCTTAAATAAAGAATGGATCTCAAAAATCTACAGTACGTTTGAGACTGACTTCAGACTGGGTGTAACTTGTTACACGGTTGGCGGGCTGTTGGCAATTACAAACAGCAATGGAAAAATATAGTTAGCTCAACGGTTACCTTTCACAAGCTAGAAACATGATTTACAGTATTTTTTTCTTCGAAAACCTTTAGATTTTAATTGAATAGATTTTGTTTCAATTGTCCGAAAACACGTTACGGTGTTTTTCATTTCACCATTAAACTTTCACTATTTTGACATATTAACAAGTTATTCTTTTCCCGATTTTTATTTCCCCAACAAACCATTTGACCAATGTATCTAATCGAACATTTTTATTTTGTAAAAAAAACTATATCCATGATACATTTTTGTTATATTATTTCTTATTACAGATAGTACTAGAACGTGTCGCACAATACAAATAGTCAAATTTAAACACCTCGCATCTTTAGAAAATACGGTAAACGAGATGCTAGTTAATTTGATCGAGTAGTAGTCACTCGTCTCTCTCGTTTGGCTCGTGCAGCTTTTTCATATACTAACCTTACCTAAACTTACAGGAGGGGGTCGTACCGTTTAGGTAATGCAAACAAATTCGGCTCTGGCATTAGCCGGCCGAAAAAAAGTCGAAACATTTTCGGAGTAATGAAATTCGAAAGAAATTCGAGTTTGTGATAAGTTACCTCGCTCAACATGTCGGGTCTTTTCTCGTAAACAAATAATAAAGACAAAAGCTATCTCCAACAAGAACTAAACGAACTTTACCGGCACAATAATATTTTTAACAGAATTTATGTAATAAGTAAGATAAAATGGATAAAACAGATTAAACAATACATTCTTTGTTTTGACCCTACATTCCTGATATGTAGTCATGTAGGTTTATTTTCAACCAATCATATTTGAATGGAGCGCTTTGTGTATTGTAAGTATATCATGTACATCTTTCTTGCACATGTATATATATGCTGTATATTCAAATAAAAGTCCATGTACCAACTATATACATACTTTACCGTGCTGTTAAAACAGATTTTGTTGTTCCAACTGTTGTTCTTCTTAGAAGTATGTGGACAAAAATCAATACCAACAAGTGCTAATAAAAATATAAATAATTAGGTCTCAGTTATATTACGAAATTAAGTTTAAGCAGTACATACCAAATACGATTTATATTGCTTTTCATTTTTTTTATCTGTTTTGAAAAGGTCTGAAACGTTTGGGCGTTTATGTCGGCCTCGTAATGTATGTTTGTACTACCCATACCAATTCTGCTTTACCTGTCACTACTCCCATGAGAGGTGGATTACTCCTTATCAGAAAGCAAGACCTCACACAGGAGTAAAGAGCTTCAACACTCTGCATCAAAGGGTTGCTCTATCTTATATTTATCTCACCTACCTTGACCCATTGGTCAGGTAAGACATTATTTTAATTGATATTGGGCAGCCCGCATATCGGCCACATTCCGTTAAATGAAGTATGTCTTCCAACTCTTTTCAGAATTGGCATTGAGGGGATTCAGCCTTTCTCATTAGACAAATTTATTTAATGGAATATGACCAGAACGCAGTCTAATAACAGTAACTCTGGTGCCTATCCTCTTCGAACCAGAGCTTGTGGCCCATGTTGACTGGACATCCACACTAAGCCCGTATCGGGCAGTAGTAGGATAATATATGTACCTCTTGTCACAGATACGTCATCAACTCTTGGCCCATTAATTTTGCTTCGATAATTCAAATTAAAAATGAAATATATGTGTGTCTGCTTTTGACATATACATGTTGCTACAAATAACATATGTACGTGTGAAATAAAATAAATTAGTCTTATAATACATAAGTCTCTCACCTCTCGCTTCTGCTTCTTTCCCTCAAAGGATGATAAAATATCCCTAGTCTGCGAGTCAGCGCTCATCCAGCCTAAATCAAGCTCTTCTATAATTTGCAGATACAATAGGTCTAGGGAAACCCTGTCTAACATCAGATCCACATCATAGCAGGGGTCCCAGTAACTGTAATTAATTTTTAGGTTGTAGTAATTAAAAATCATGGGTGAATTTTTTTTTTCCTACAAGGGCACAATATTTCCGCTGTGGTTTGTTCTATATGTGCAAGACACGCAGAGGTACCGGGTTCGATTCCCGGGCCGCGAGAAATATTCGTATGGCCTACATTTATTTCTCTCGTGAGTTTGGGTGTAATTTGTGGTTGTTCAGGTGTGTCCATGGCACCCGAGACACAAGGTTTCCCTCGTACGGGGGCTATGAGTGTGTACGTTAAACAAAATAAAAAGACGCTCCCGTGGTAGGCATCACCTCGTAATAAGGAGTTGCCTAGTATAGATTTTACTACTCTATTTGAAAATGAACTTTTGTAGTCACATAATGGTCATATTCCATTGTAACATATCTTATAATCTGCTACAAAATGACATCGTCACAATTCTGCCCTTTCTTATTAGGTGATCAAACTGATTTACGATTACGATTAAGTTTTATTTAGAAAGAACACATTGGAGTATTGTTATTAAAAGACTAATATCATTCAAGTAAAGATTGGGCAAAACAGATCAGATGGCTTTTCCTCCTAATGTATTCTAAGTATTTTATGACATATCACACTTTACAATGTGTGACAAATCAAACAACAATTTTTCCGTGATTCCTGGAGTTTGATTGTATTACATTGCGTTAAACCTAAAAAACTTAACAATAATATTTCATTAATTTCCTGTAAGGATGAAATCTAGTCATTTTGATGACAATTAAATATTGATCATATCAAAACATACCTTTTCCTTAAAACAATTTTGTCTTCTGGCCTCACATATTTCTGTGATATGTATGGAGACTCATATTCTTCTAGCATTTTCAGTGAAGGTTGCCCATCTTTGGCACAGCTCCAATTGAAAAGATATAGTGAAAAGTACTTGACCAATTCTTTAGGCAGGTTAATGTAATTACAGGCAATGTCCAGAATTGTGTTCGAAGAGTCAATTGAGGACACTGATAGTGGTATTCTGTAGCCATTCATGAGTGAGATCTCAATTTCAACTTCATGCATACGAACACCATGAGTTTCTTGCTG